ACGTTCACTTCGACTCTGTGATTTTTAATACATAGTAAAGGTTGGGGCCTTCACGAGGTGGTAGAGGTGGTATTTCTAACTAGTTTACCTATGCGACCCTTTATCTTCTTTGGTCTTCCATTTTTCCCCGTCACGTGCAAGAGTAGCCCAGTGGGTTGCGCTCGCTCTAGAGACCCGTCGAGCATCATATCTTTCTTCTAGGCTCTTTGTGAAGAACTCTAACCATCGGGTGGGTGGTCATCCTGCAGTACGTTCCACATCCCGAGGAATCCAGACACTAACGGCTCTTGTCCATCGGTTGTCATTCATACTCATTGCGTTTTCGGCCCACATTATCTCCGACTGTTTGGCGTACAGAACGGCATTTTTGATTTTCGATCGTCGACGCAGGTGGGAGTTTCGGATCCCATCACTTACTTGTGGGAAACGGGATACTCCTAGCATCGTCCTTTTCGACTGTGCGTTCGATAACACTGAGTGATTCTTTATCCTGCTTACGCAGCGACCAGGTTTTTGACGCATAGGTTAGGGCAAGAAGTACCGTTGAGTCGAAAATGTGGGCACGAAGTCGGGTGTTCCGTGTTTTCTTCACTACATCCTCGATGTTCTTGAAAGTTCCCCAAGCCGCTCCTTTCCTTCTGCTCAGCTCTGGAGCTAAGTCGTTCACCATATTGATTTCCCGACCTAGATAGAAATAACTGGAGCATTCGGAGATACTCTTTCCTTTGAGCGTGAATGGGGCATACGAAACCAATCCGCTTCTCATAAACATTGTTTTTGTGATATTTAGTCGAAGACCAATCTTTCCACAGACTTTATCAAAGTTGGAAAGCATACGTTCTGCTTGGCTAATGTTTGGTGTTATAAGGACGATGTCATCAGCAAAGCGAAGATGACGTAACTGCCGACCATCGATTTTTACTCCCATATTATCCCATTCCAATGTTTGCATGACGTTCTGAGGGGTGGCGGTAAATAATTTTGACGAGATGGTATCGCCTTGGCTAACTCCTCTTCTGACATCAACGTTAATATCGTAGTAGAATGGTGATATTTCGGTTGTGAAATTCTTGTACAGGTCACGAAGAATCTTTATGTACTGATTAGGGACTCCTTGACTATCAAGGGCTTCCATGACTGCTTCTATCTCAGTTGAATCAAAGCCTTCTGTAAATCGATGAAAGTGAGACACAGCGGTCTTTTGTACTCTCGCGAAACTTCAGTAAGCCCTGTTATCGTGTGGATGTGGTCCATCGTGCTAAATCCTTTTCGAAACCCTGCTTGCTCACATGGCTATCCTTCGTCCACTTCGTCCAGTGTTCTGTCCATCTTGTTTAGAATGACTCGAGTGAAAAGTTTGGAGACGGCAGACAGCAAGCAGATTGGGCGATAGTTCCCAATATCGTGTAGGTCACCTTTCTTGAAAAATAATGCGGTCTTCTTGGCTTTCCACTGAGTAAGGACCTTGAATTTAGACAGGTAACGTTTGAAGAGCCGACCCAGTGTGTTTACGAGGACTGGCGGAAGCTTCTTTAGGTGTTCTGATCGTACTCTGTCTGGACCTGGCGCTGTTCGATTTTTCACCGAAATGGCATGTCGGATTTCGGAAGGGAGAACCGATGGTACAACATATCCATCCTCTATTTCACATTACGGGAGGTGGAGGTGGCTATCGAAGAGATATGAGTAGTATTAGTGAATGGCTTTCTACATGGCCTTTCTGGACGCTGCAACTGTTCCGTCTGGACGCTGGAGTACAATCACCTTGGTCTTGTAGTTGGCAAAGCTTCAGTGGGCTTACCCAGCCTCTGCAGCTTCGGCGATTACTGCTGCTCTTCTCTCCTGAAGACCTTCTTTTATCGCCTGCTGCATTGTTTTGCTAGTTCGGACGTCAGTCCGCGGCTGCCTGCAGCTCGTGAGATTCCACGCTGGCGTATCAGCTCGAGTGGTTCTGAAGACAGACGTCTCTTGGCGAGTTTTGAACTCTCAGCTTTCATCGCGCTAACGTGAAGATGTTGAATGAGCCGATCGTATTCTTCGTCGATGTTATCAACGTCGGCATCTTTCCAACAGCCAACTAATGAATTGAATAAGTCCCAGTTTATGGTGGTTCTGGGACTTCGGATTTTGAATTTAGCGGCTTTTTCTCCTTTCCGAGAGGAATAGAATCCTGCACAAAGGAGATAGTGGTCTGACCCCATGTAAAATCTTGGGAAAACATCGACATCGGTTAGGCAAAACCTTCTATTTACTATGACGTGGTCTATTTCGTTACGGTACTCTCCATTCTGAGACTTCCACGTCCAGCGTTGTGGGTGGGGCTTCGGGAATTACGAGTTACCATGGATGGTCTTGGTCGCCATGATAAACTCATATAGTCGCTCACCCTGCTCGTTCCCATTCTAAACCGTGGATCCCAATGTGACGATCTTCAGACGTTCTTCTTGGTCCAATCTTAGCGTTGAAATCTCCAATGATGACCTCGAAGAATGTATGGTCTTTTCTGTAGAACTTCTCCAAGTCCATTTAGAACGCTTCGACTTCTTCGTCATAGTTTGATGTCGGTAAACGATGAAGATTGTCAAAGCCGGTATTGATCCACGTCTTTTTCATTGTAAACGTCCGATTCGGGTTGTAAGCTGTTGAAATGAATCGATGTTCATGGACAAACCCGTGTTGACGATAACGCCGACATTTCATTGTAATAGGATGAAGGAACCTCGCTAAGCTTCTCCACTAAATTGGTATCCTCCCTAATGAAACAGGTGTGTATTTAGCGCAGTGGTCCGAAGCCCCCCTGCAACTCGCCTACGGGATCGATCTGTGTGCCCATGGTTCACCAAGTCTTGCATCCCTTCTGGGCCGGTAAATTGGTACCAGACTTGTCTGAGAGGATAGTAGCACTGGCTCTGTAAATAGGTAAACTATCGCGAGCCATTTTAAGGGCCAGATATGCATTCATTTACCTCCAACGATGCTTAATGAAGGCGAATACGTGGCACATCTCTCAGGGATTGATGAACTCTGAAAGTCTCATCTTTTTTTATCTTATTCTTATAAAACAATAAAGTCACATGACTTCAAAAAGTGTGTGTATATTTGACCGAAACTTTATAAGTAATGCTCTCTAGTTTTCTGAGCTCCCCACAATTTTGGTCACTACTTCACAACACATAAAGCTCGAAGCCGGTATTTCTATAAATACCGAGATTTATTTATGTGATCTTATAAACTGATCTTCTTAAGCTGACTTTCAATAAGTAGGGCAGATTTGCTTTGTCGCCTTAATGGCATATATAATTCTTACAAATCACTTTATCTTTTCTAAAATTCTTTAGGATTGATCTTAGCATTAAACTGAAGACGAAGTCTGAATTTTTCAAATTTCCAAGGAGAGCACAGCAGTTGCGACATCAATGTTGTATCGAGTAACGCAGTTAAGTCCTTCTGGATGAAATATCACTGCTTCAATCTCTTCCTCACTTGCACAACGAGCTTTTAAGGGCGAAATCTGGCAAAATACGTTTTATGGTCCCCAGAAAAATGCATTTTGGTGTGATAATAGAAAGATGTGTGTTTTTAGCATAAATCTGTAGATTTTTGTAGTTATCATTTCCCTGGTTTATTAAGGTGACAATAGGCTGGTATAACGTTTTATTAGGGTGAGATTCCGATGTTCTCGTCTTCTTCAGGGCCAGAGTGATCGGTAACGATGTTTCACAGCTGGTCCTCGTTATGTGCGTATTTATTGCCGTATCAAGTCGAATCCGTTGGAGTGGAGCACCGCACGATTATGTTATGCTATCCTCTTAGCTTCGCAATCCAAAGAAATTTATCTTATCCTCTTTCGGTGAGGCCCTTTCATGGACGACGGTTACTGATCTGTTGCCGTCTACTGATTTGTTGATCTATTATGGCAGCAGTACCTCTTGCGAAAGGCGGTGTTATGTAGTAGCTCTTCCGTACCGTGGGAATAATTCTAAGAACTGACTTTCAAACCGAAACCCTGTAAAACGTGATACCAACTTTGTGTTAGCCTAGCGAGACATTAAATAATAATAGTACAACCACAACGATGCTGAGATATTTGCAAAACTCCGAACCGCGGGTGTCTGCGGTGGGAATCGAACATGCTATTACGGTTTCAGGGCCCCAACGATAATTGTCAATTTGTTTAAACGGACGTCAAATGAAAGTTGGCTTAAGAACGTTCTAATAGCTTTTACTTTGCTTAACGGAGTTTAATTTGTGTCGGGTTATGTCGATATAAGGTCGAAAACTGCCGCTTACTTCGAATAAAATTCATTGTGACCAGTGCACGTCCAGTGTTGTGTATTAAATCTCGAAGCAAAGAGGATTTGGGAAGTAGTATTTTATTTCATGGGTGTTGTTCCTTGGCAATAACTTTGTTTTAGGAAATGTTCTGAATAGTCTTTGATAGCATCCTTGTCGTAATCACCCGGCAGTGTTACTCTGAAGTCTTTTTTAAGTAACCTCGTTATTCCCCTCTCCCTGTGCCCTAATGAGTCTTCCTGCAGGAATCTTTCACAGCTTGCACTGACTGCTAGTCGTCCAAATACACAATGCAATCCTCGAACATTACTGGGAATGCGTTCCTAACAATATAGGATAAGTCGGAAAGTCAAGATTTTATATCATCGTTGACAAAGAGGGGCGTCCTTCGTACCAAACACATACATCGTTCGATGCCACTTACTATGAGATTATTCTGTAGTATTAGAAGATGACAGCCATAAACATAGTTGAAAAGGTATCGATTCAGATTGTGAAACGAGCACTCACAGAGAGTTCTGTGATTTACCTTACGAAGATGTGACTATCCTTACATAAACACTATTATCAGAATCACAGCATCTTGATGGCAGTATAAAAGTGACAATTATGCGATGTTTCATTTTCATGTTTAAGACAGGTGTGAGTTGTCGCTTTTTGATTTTCACCGGCAACACCTGCTTAAGCACTAAGCTGAATTTCAGTTTATGAGCTCTTCTGATGAGAATTTGGGACAAACACAACTGGACGCTCCATTGTCCGTCGACCCCGAGGTAATCTACAGAATGTACGTTAACTAGGCCGGTGTAATTTCTCAGAAACGCAGTGAACCGAAATTGGCAGTTCTCAATCAAATGCTTCTTGAAATATTACACACTTTTCGAACACTTTTTAAATTCCTTCATTAAAAACTAAGAAATCGTAGTCGACTTGAACTCGAAAATTCTAAGGATGGACCGTCCGTCATGGACTACTCTTGATGTGAATTGAAAGCACTAAACGAGTCTCATATCCTCTTCTAATCGTCTAACCGAATGTAAAAGGCCAGTAGTGCATCTTTTTTCAGGTGGCCACATTCACGGCTGCCGGTGGAAAATCGGAGCACATGCTGGTCAATCTGGGCGACACACATCTAGCTGTCAAGGTGAACAAGTAATATTTCGTTTATCATTATAGAAAGCAGTTCACGAAACGTTATCGAACGTCGCCATCCTTCATATTTCAGCTTATTAAATTAACTATGATTATTGTATACTAGTACAATGGGCACAACTCGCTGATATTGCTGTCTCTCAGTTATATTATACTTTTCTGCCGTTAGTCATCGCCCTTGACTATGATCCCTGGCTTTTTCCCTCATGAAAGATGAGCAAACTGGGGCAAGCGAGGGGCCAAGGCGACCCTAAACGAAGGTGCCGTGTCGTCGCAGCGCTCATAAAAATTGATGGACGACTGTTATCTAAACACTTATCATGAATTGTATTCTATTGTATTATTACTATACTATATATTACCTTTTACTTACCATTATTATCATTGTTAATACTATTATTATTGTTATTATTATTGCTATCAGTAATAGTAGTAGTAACCCCTATTTTCTTGATGAGCACACACGAAGACCTTGCTTGAGCTTATTAAGAAAAAGAAGGATTATTGATCCATGCCGAGGTTAAAATAAAGTCGATCTTAGGAATTATAAGTGGTGCTTCTCAAGTGGTTTGCTGCAAGGCTTCCTGGTGAAGAAGCTCCCAAATTTTCGACGTTATGCGACATGAACATTCTTCTGGTTATAACATCCTTAGTGGCACATCATCTATGTTCAGTACTCCACTTACCACTTATACTTGGCTTCAGCAGGTTGAATTTTAAGTTTGAGGAAACCTAGGGGTTGCGGTAAATGAAGTTCTATGCAACGTTTTTCATTCATTGAGAAAATGGTACTGGCAGTGGAAGAATTTTTAGTGCAGAGATCCCTCACCAATTTTGAAATGAAGGTCGCAGAGGCCCCGTTTGTTGCATATGTCACGCAAAGTTGTTTGTTGTCGCGACAGCAGAAGCAAAAACTTTAATCCGAGTGGCTTTTCAACGGGTCAGCATAGAATGGATTAGTAAACGAATTAGCGTTAACTAGAATGATATCACTATTATCGCTCATTTAGACGTTATCATAGGAGAGGAAATAATTATAGGACGAAGTAATTGATCAATAATTAACCCTGAACCTGGTGAAAGTGAAAATCCCAACAATATTCTGAAGTTATTTGAGCTTTTATCCTTATAAAACGATAGTACCGTTAATACATTCCATCACAAAACATTTCGGAAAATGCTTATAATCGTTGTTGCCTTGCCAAATTCTATATAAAAGCATTATTAATACTTAAGGCTCGAAAAGGGCGTGTGTGGCGCAGTGGTCGGAGGCACCACATGGAGGGACAAACATTAGATCGATCTCCACGCCACTGGCCCAACCAAGCCTTCCGTCCCTTCGGGGTCGGTAAATTGGTACCAGACTTGTTTGGGAAGATAGCAGTACTGGCTCGATACATCGGTAGGCCACCGCGAGTCATTGTAAAGCAAGAATTTTTGCTTCCTACACGCAACCATTTGTGGACTCTCATACTTCTTATATCAGATTTTCGGATTCGAAAACTATCATTAAGGGGACGGTTGCAGAGTTGTAGTGATGACGACCATCGCGAGCACAGTGCTTCTTCCACCCCCTACCGGCCTCACCAAGCCTCTCATTCATTTGAGATTGTGAAATTGGTACCGAACTTGTCTGCGAAACGCTCACTCTCTGCAGTCCAAGTGGGAATGCTTTAGCCAGGCTATCTCCGAAGTCCAGGAATAACGGATTCAATCAACACTCAATGGCATTCATGACGAGAGCAAAATTGTCAAGCAGCGGCTGAACCTAAATGCAAATAGTTGAAAGATCATCGTGGACGACGGATGCGAGGAAACGAAGAGTAATGGAAGAAGTGCTGAGGTCGCACAGCATATTTGAAAAAACGGGTCGTGCAAGAAAAAAAATCTTCATGTTGCATACAATAAAGTTAAGTTTTAGCTGAGGTATTCTACTTAAATGTCGAATGGCCATTAATGTTGCACCCTGTGAATGGAAATCAACTGACGTCGGTCCCTAAGTGTCAATCTAGCGTCATGTGACCTTTGCTGCCATTTCCCCTTCTATTGCTCGACATATTGTATTGACATCGGTTATTAACGCAACTCCAAAAGCTTCTTATGGGATTTCAAGCACTTGCTTAACAATACTTAGCAGTTTTTTATGCATACTAACATGAGACTTTGTCATACAATAATAATATTATACCTTGATTATGTTTTGGAAAAAATAGCCTTCATTGACACGTGGGACGCTATCCTAACTTTAGCACTGTTAATTAAATTGGTATCACGCCCAAAACTGTAGCAACCAACGACGTAAAGATTGAGGATAAAACAAAATCGGCGTTGATCGAGCCCTCCATGCATTGGACTCCACTCAGGATCGTGTAAGGAATGCATAAATGGCGCATAACGACTTGTGAAGGCCTGCCCATGTATCAAGTTGGTGTGTTTCTCAAAAAATTTCTGCTTTGACCGTGATGGAGAATCGAACCAACGACCATGTGTTTGTTGCAGTACACCTGCGCACACTCCGTCAGATTCGCCTTACGATATAGCTCAATTAAAGTTGATTTATCAGCACCACCTGTATAGGCCGTTCTCCCTTTTGTAGCTCAGCAACTTGACTGGGCATCATCCAATTGTCCAAGTCGTCAGTTATCACAATCCAGAATTCCGTCATGAGTTGTGCCGACTCAGAGGAAACTTCTCCTACAGTACACCTTCGGTGCTTCCGCAAGCTTCCTTAATTGCTCTTTTCTTCTCGCTCGATTGTAAAAATAAGTCATCTGTTACTACGATTTTTCTTAGTTAGATATATGTAGTTGGATGTATTCGGGAACTTTCTTAAAGTTGAACGAGAACACGGTTCCATAAACTAGCCCTTTTCTTATGAACATCACATTCCTAGATTCATTCTAAAATCAACTTTCCACAGGAGAAGTCAACGTGTCCAACGTTCGTTCGGCCTGGTTAGTGCTTAGTGTTACAAGATATCCATCAGCGAAGCGAAATTAGCGTAGCTATCGGCCATCGTTTCAGTCCCGTGTTATGCATTACAGTTTTCGCAATACGTTCTTTAGTGTTGCTGTAAACAATTTTGGCGAGATGGTATCTCCTCCTCGCATTATCGAATCTATGTTTTTACACTGATGCCAGTGCCGTTGTAGAACAGTGAAATTTCCGTTTCGAAGTTGCTAAAAAATAAACGAAGCATCATTCTCCACCTAGCATAGTATACCCGACACCCTGAAGCCTCTACGGTCATCGCTATGCAAAATAAGTCGTAAGACTTTAGATTAAAGTGAGATAAAGCGATTTCTTATACTCTAACGATATTTCATTGAATCATGAGTGTAATGTGGGGAAAGTCAGCCCACTCTGTAAGCAAGGACTTTCGATAGAATCTTAGGATATTCGTCTTCGTTTCTGTAAGGATTAGAACAGGAGCTGTACCGTTATTCATCGATGAGATGATGTGATGAACTTCGCAAAGGAGGACCGTTTCATCGATGCGTCACCGTCGAATAAAACATAATAGAAATCGATCATTTTCTTTTCGATCCTCTTTATGGTAACGGTGACTTTCTTCCAAACGATGGGTGGCGTTCATTTCGGTTTTGTAGTTAGGATAATACTGCTGTTTCTTTCTGTTTGAGGTCCTTCCTTGTCTTTATCTTTATTTTCTTTCTTATCCAATTTTTCAGCTCTTCATTTTTTTTCTCATCCTCTGCAGAGCCTTGTAGGCTCAGACATACATAAGTTGGTAATGCAGTTTGCAGAGCTTCAGATTAGCCGTTTAGATCTCTAAAGCTTCAAAGAACGAGGTCTTCCTATGGACTTCCAAACATTCCAGCTTTTTAGCTTTGTTATGAAAGCATTGGAAAGGAAAGAAAGAAAGTTTGTAAACGAAGAGACGATTGTGTTCTTCATCGTCTTTGCTAGAAAGGAAATCTTCCTAATTGGTTGCCATAAAGCTAAAAACCTCTCGGCGTTGACCAATCCCTTAAGGATGCGCCATGTATTGGACTTCATTAAGCATCGTCAGAGGTGGTTGAATGCATATCTGGCCTTTACAATAACTCGCAGTGGGTGGCCTACAGATGTATCGAACCAGTGCTGCTATCTTCCCAAACAAGTATGGTGCCAATTTGCAGATCCCAGGGAGATAGAGGGCTTGGTAAGCCTAGTGCGCAGTATTCAATCCCATGTGTCCCATGTAGAAGTCACTTTTCCCGGCAGAGAAAAGGTGCTTATTCCATCAATTCTTTGCTAGAATCTCTTAATCACTGAGATAAATGGACTTTACTTCACTTTATTTTCGCAAAGGAGAACCGTTACTTTCAAACTTTGCCAGCATTAGATAACTTGTGAATCCAAGTGAACACCTATATGAATATTACTCTAGTAACATAGATTTAAGATCATCGTTGAGTGAAAGCTGTAAATGCTTCACATTATTTTACCGTTGTATCAATGTGTGCACCAAACAGATACATTTTAGAAAATGAAAAGTCCAGATAGGCAATAAAATCACCACTTTCATCGCTATTAAACACTCATAAAGTTTATCAGCGCATTCCTTGTCAAATAGACAGCGTTCCGCTGTTACGATCTCGGCCATTGAAATCCTTTGGATACTTGGATGCTTGGACGGCCCTTCCGCACTAATTTTGCGGGCCCCAGCATAATTTCCATTTTTTTTCGGAGCCTTGTTGGCTTAGCCACTGTGATTCCGTAGAATCCCGAGGTCAGCCTGACCAAAGTCTTCCTTTGGTCGTCACCACAACAGGCAGTCGCAGTCTTTGTGGATTAGAGGGAGATTTGCCACCATGCGACTAGTTTCATACCAGGACGGTGGTGGATCCTGGTATTGGTTTATTCTTAGCTAGGCTTCCCGATGGATAAGCCAGACTCCCTCTCAGCTTGGAAGACCCTGCCGGGAGATGAATTTCCTCGCCTTACATCACAGTCCGACCTCCAGGAACACCTCTCCCAGCCACGACGAGGCGGTAAATCGTTAGGAGTAAAGAAATCCTTTAAAATATCGAAAAAGCTTGAATTTTGTAGGAATTCTGAGAATATCGGATCATGCACTGGTTTTCTTCAAATGGCTAGATCCATACCTCGAACACAACGACTTTTCGAACATTTTTCAGTTCAGCGAACATTTGCGCTTGTAAACTCGCTTTTTTGTTGGAAACCATTAGTCCGTTTGAATGTCCAGTACCTTCACCAGTAAGGCACGCAAACTGTGATGTTCATGCGAGACAATTTATTACTTCGAGCAAACAAAACGAACTGGTTGTCAAATATGATCTTTCTCTCGACGAAATCTACTTGATAAACTGATAGAACTTTTCTGAAAGAGTACCGTTTTCAAGAACGACTTTGCACTATCTTCGGCATTGAATACTAAATGCATAGTTCCCAGGATCGACTTTCTCTTAACCTCGGCATTGGAATATGAATGTGTCGTTTTCTTGTTCAACGATCGCGAGGTTTTTAAACAGCATACATTTACTTCCATAAAAACACAATACAATACAACGCTAGCTGACGTTTCGGCAGTATCGCCTTCTTCAGAGCCGCTTTTTCGTGACTTCCAATGAGGAAGCTTAGAACAGCTGATTATAGTCGCATGTGGTTGACGACTCAGGAAGTAAATGTATGCTGTTTAAAAACCTCGCGATTGCTGAACAAGAAAACGACACACTAAATGCATACATTGTTGATTAGTTAACACGATTGACATACAANTTTCTTGTTCAACGATCGCGAGGTTTTTAAACAGCATACATTTACTTCCTGAGTCGTCAACCACATGCGACTATAATCAGCTGTTCTAAGCTTCCTCATTGGAAGTCACGAAAAAGCGGCTCTGAAGAAGGCGATACTGCCGAAACGTCAGCTAGCGTTGTATTGTATTGTGTTTTTATGGAAGTAAATGTATGCTGTTTAAAAACCTCGCGATTGCTGAACAAGAAAACGACACACTAAATGCATACATTGTTGATTAGTTAACACGATTGACATACAATTTTTTAAGCCTTTATCTAACGTCCTTGATCCTCTTGGGTAATTATGCAGCTTAAGAGATTCGCGAAAAGTTGTAAATAATCCGCCTTAATGTTACAATTCCCGTTTGTCGACTCTGTCCTAGCGACAAGGCTAAACGCCTTTCCGCCATTCTCGTAGTGCTCGGAACCCTTAGGCAGAATTTCTCCGTGTTATGATAGTTCTCATGGCCCCAAGAGAGTAGCAATAATCTAGGTGCGATGCAGTAATGACAGTCTTTATCGCGTAACGCCAGTTTATCAAGTCGTCGAAACTGGACAATGCAAGAGTCTGGTAGTAACGCGAAGTATCGGTGAGTGTTTTCCAGGGAGAACGTCATGAGAACGTCATCGATTGCGATGTAAGGTGCCATTGAAGTTTTCAGCAGCGTAACTCATCGAGTCTTGTTCACTTTTAGTAACCCATTCAGGTCCTCCTGGTCTAGACCGATTAACTATTCAATATTTACCGACTGCTGACATAAACTGCAACATAATCGAAATCTTCAACAACGCAATCAAGAGCGGAATGAAAATAAACGCGCTGAAACTGATTCTTAAGGTGAAGTTATCGAGTTCTTCTCAATGATTTCCCACCTGTTTTTGATCTCTACTCATTCTTTAGATGAAGGAGGAGACGAACTTTTCGGATGATGCAACATACATGTGAATGTTAAGGAATCGATTTTACAAACACAATCTTATGTTCACATTATAAATGTAGTTTCGTATTCCGGTTAAATCAGATGTATGTGGGGAATTAAAGAAGGATAAAGCTCTCGGCGTTGATCAATCCCTTAGGGATGCTCCTTGAATTCGACTTTACTAAGCATCGTTTGGTGATAACTGAATGTATACTTGACTTTTGCAATGGCTCGCGGTGGCCTACCAATGTATCCGGCCAGTGCTGGTATTCTCCCGGACAAGTCTGGTACCAATTTATCGACTCCGGAGGGATGGAATGTTGGTTGGACCATGGGCGCGGCATCGATTCCATGTGTGTTGCAGGGCGCCTCCGACCACTGCACCACACGAACTCTGTGAGACATATGTGACAAAATCTAACGGTAAACATTAGGCGGTCTTGTTTTAACATACGGTTTACAGAAATGCCAACCGTAATAGAAATCCATTCTCATTGCTGCTGTTTCCGAAAGATCTGCGGTAGCTATGCAAAAACGAATTACATGAGAGTAAATAGGCGCAGCGAATAATTGCAGACGACGAACTGCACTGTTATTTTGTCTGAATGAGTGTTTCCGGAATGAATCGTCGCAAGTGTTTTTATGCATTCGCTCTTCTTCGTAGAGTATGGCACTTTTGTGGTGTGCCTTAATCATCAGTGACGTCGAAATATGCTCAGAAGAGATGACATTTCTTGAACTGACGTTACTGAAAGCATGCTACCCGCTTCAGGTGCAGTTTGCCGTAATATTCCAACTTCTTCAAAGAAGCATCTGCTGAGAGTAGAATGTTTACCATTGGTTCCTGGGTCAGCCTATGAATCCGCTCGGTGAACAGCCAACTAGTGACGATCTTATCTGCCAGGAAGAAATGTTTTTTTTATATTTATTTATGTGATCTTATAAACTGATCTTAAGCTGACGCGAGGTTGGTACAGATCTTCGTTGTCGTTGTCGTTGTCGTTGTTTTTGATGTTATTGAACGATGGCTGACGTTTCGGCGACTTCGGCTTCCTCAGAGCCTGGACGTACTTTATGTTAGAATACTTTTTATTATTCGGTGGAAAAGAAGGTTAAAGTATTAATGAAGATCAAACTTTCAAATAGACGCCATATTGAACAGAAAGGCCACACACCGTGATGTTACGTGCGGGACTGGCCCACACGTAGTTCACGTGGAGTCGCTAGCAAGACACGCCCCGGGGTCAAAATATCATTTTGAAATAGGGCGCCAGGTCACGCGTGATAGTGAGGCANGACGCGAGGTTGGTACAGATCTTCGTTGTCGTTGTCGTTGTCGTTGTTTTTGATGTTATTGAACGATGGCTGACGTTTCGGCGACTTCGGCTTCCTCAGAGCCTGGACGTACTTTATGTTAGAATACTTTTTATTATTCGGTGGAAAAGAAGGTTAAAGTATTAATGAAG